ACCATCTATAGAAGTTTATCAAACCTAAACTATAGAATAAATAATTTTACAGAAAGTCATGAAATTTACATTTAGACCATTGTTCAGTATGAGTTAGAAAAATACTAAGTTTATTACATATTACTCTAGAAATGTTCCAAAAATTGTCTACATTGATAATAAATAACAAGATGTTAATTAGTAATCTAATGAAACCACTAATTTCTAATTTCTATACTTGATGAATAAAATGTAATTAGTTTATTTGACGTGTGATCCTTACCATTAGATTTATGACTTGTATGTAACCTCTACTCATACCCAACATAAAATGACCTTCTATATTACAATTGTGACTAAATACTTCACGATAATTAATTTTTTAAATTGAACATAACAAGAACCTATGTGTAAAACGTATCTAAAAATCAGAAATATGTCAGGTAAATATTAAAGTTAAAAAACTTTACATTAGTAAACTTCTTAATGTCTCATCAAAAGAATAAAAAATGACTTATTTAACCGTTTTAATTACACATCATGAACCTTTGTTCATCTTATAGGTAGAAAGTATGACTACAATTAAATTTTTATCAGATCACTGATTAATTCTAATCGATATCTTCGGTACAACTAATTAAGTTATTTTAGGACAGTAATGATGATTTATAGCTCATGTGGATGATTTTGGTGAAGTCTCGTTCTCTAAAATGGACAGTCCAATTCTGAACCTTTATTGTTCTTCTGAAAAAAATTATCGACATAAATTTCAGGTGGAAGTACTCCACAGACAGCTTATTTTATCAACCTATATCTTGACTGATTACTGTCGATCAATGACCTGTCGTTATATTTATGGTTATTTCGATAGTCTACCCCTCCGACCTAATTCTTGTTCCTCTTTATTTGCTTCTGCATGAACACCAAACAGCTGTCAAATACTGCCGTGTATCTTTTTTAGTAGCGATCCATATAGACAATTAGGGACACAGGTTCAACAGAGAAATTGTTGAAGTTTTGGATATAAAGAACGCAACTAAAAAAATAGATGATCTTTGGGAGCCTGATAATCAGGCCGTTCAGTAGTCAATAAATACGTCGAAATCAACCCGATTTACCAACCACTTGAAAATTCGTGGACAAATATGGGATCAAGAACATGGTCGAAGAGTTAGACTATAAAAATAACCACACATATAAAAACAGGTCGTAGGCCGACAATATTCAGTAAAGATCAAGGTCGACAAAACAAGCTGTTAGTGGAGTACCTAACTTCCAACTGAGTTTTGTTCTGATGCCTTTGTTCGGTAGAATAGTGAAAGCCCCAGGATTAAATCAGAGAATGTAAATCTACCAAAAAAGTTATTTTTACTGAGAAACTACTGTGACCGTATTCTAACGTCCAATAGCTGAATTTTTAATCTAGTGGTGTTTCTCAGGTATTCACTCTATTTCATTTTTCAGTCTTCATATTATCCAAAATTATATCAAAAAGGATATAAATTTTAACTATAATCCCGAAAGTATGTCTGACCTAAAAATGAATGTGGTATATTACATACTTTGTCACTAACAGCTAATCTGAGAAACGGTTTCTTTCTTTCACTGTAATTAAACTGCTAATACCACCTAAAACAGAATAAACTTTTCGAAACATACATCTTCTTAGAAAAGTGATTTGCGAAACCAGCAGAGATTTTGAATAGGAAAATTTTGATTTTTAATCTACCATGCTCGCATGTTTATTTATGGCCGAAAAGAAATTATCGTATGAAATGGATAGAATGGAATAAATCTTTATTAGTAAAAATGGTTATAACATGATATTAGTAGTAGTTACCAACTCTAATCATTACTTTACAGCTATATCTGGAATATAATATGAATTTCTTAATGCTACAAAATCGATAAGACACCTAACATGAAATAACTGGGAGGACTCTACATATTAAGGCAAAGTGCACAGAACTGTTATTTTTGTTTTATTGAATACATCAAAACTTCAAAGATCTCATATTTTGTAATTTTATTGATCAATATCATTTTTAATCGTATTTTCATGCGTGATAGTCACTTATGGTGATTTCCCAAAACGATAGAACTTGAGAAATTACTATTGATAGTGATTATATTAAATTAGGGTTATTGGTATGTTTTAAAATTAGCATCAATTAGCTGTAAGGAAATAATTTTACCTTACTAATTACAACGTATCGTGGGTTTTACAGATCGGTCAAAACCCGGGAAAACTGCTGATTTAATAGCGCTTTTCGAAATGTTAGGAAGTCAGTATGGCAAGCTATATCTAGAAAATTCTGACTTTTCGAAACGCCATCAGCAAAGCAAACAAGCAGAAGTTCAGTAAGTTTAAAAGTACTCTTTTTATATGTATCCAATTTAATTATTGTATCCATTAACTCAAGGTGATACGCTTTCACAAAGATTTCGGCACATATTATTCGGTTCCCTAATTTAAAGTATAAAATGTCACAGCGTGGTTTTACATTTGTCGCATTAGTGAAGTAAAAGAAATTTTCATCAAACCATTCGAATTTAACTCTGGAACATTTTGAGAATGTCCTCTATTTAGACAGTTATTAATGGAAGTCACAACAGCAATAATAGAAGTAAGGTGGCAAGCAAACATTTCAAATCCTCATAAAATATTATTTTCCACGAATTCATAGCCACTCATCAAGGCAAATTTCAAAAATCCCTATTGTTATTTCGATTTCCACCATTTGAGTTTTTTTGCTATTTGAGATCTAAATTTGGTCTGATAGTCGGTATCCCAATTCAATCAGCAGTGTTTTGATTTTAATTTAGATCATGAACTGACCAATGTTGGACCACCACTAAAAACTTGGGAGCACTGTACGACCGTTTTGTCATAGCAGTTAAAGACATACTTCGATAATGAATTTCGACTAGCATGGATCTTAAATCGGTTAAATGCAATACTAAGCACACTCTGTGTTTATTTGCTGTCTGTTTATCTAACTTGCTATTTAAAAGTAACATATATTCGAATTATTTAAATATTTACGAGTCAAGAAGTATTCGGATTACTCCAGTATCTACTTTTTGAATATCCCCCTGCTGCCTAACATTTTATCTTGCTTCTCAAAGACTAAACAGGTTTTATCGATACTGCCATGTCTCTAAGTTTATGATCTTACAACAACAGCGATTTGTGCTGCTCTTAAGATAATAAAACTATTTCTTCGTTCATGAGGATATGAGTCACTATTACTGTCCGTTGGTTTTATAATCTTTATTAATATATTTTCTGAGAATGCAAGTGGTTCGATGAGCTTTCAGGTGAGAAGCCTGATGGGATGAGGAAGTGTGAACATTCGTTAAGAACAGCTCGCGATACTGTTTCTAAAAAACATTTGTAAGTCTGTAAAACTTATGACGCTGAGTTGCTCATGTCAATCGACATATGGTAGAGATAAACAGATTGACTGAAAGTATGTATTTTGGAGACAATATAAAATCAAACTAAAAGTCACAAATTGTTGAAAGCATTGTCAAAAGCAATAAAACTAAATAGCAAAGATATATTATAGCAAACTATTGGGAAAATATCTGTTATAATTGATTAGAATTAATATGTAATAAGCATGCTTTCACTGGTATAATGACACCAAACAAGAAATTAATTTTCCATAAGTATCACTTCCCTTTCTAAAGTGTCAATTGAGTCTCAATATTTGTGCAATTTTGGTACTGTGTAATATACATGAGTCGTAGTTAACTTCAATTTAAATAGAGGCGTTACAATTTGGTTAAATATAACAAAGTTTACCTGTAATCGTGAAAAAACTGATGATTCTTGCAAGATTCAAACCAGCACCATCTAGCTTCACAATACATTATTGCTAAAATCTTCGGGCCATTAACGATCCCTTGTAAACTTGGATATCTAGATTGATTAATCACTGATTAGTGATAAATATCACTTTATTCTAGTTTAACTGACAAGTGCCAATTAGCAGTTAACCTATGTACAAAGTTTCCTGCCGACTACTGTCAAGCACCTTAAATCGAAATCTAGTGATTTTTGACGACAATAATCAAAATAGAACGTTTTAAATAGCTTATGGTTGTATTTTGTTACGGTTCATATTCTATATATTAAGTAGTGATATGGTTATGTAAATAAGCACGATCAATAATAGTTGTGTGTTCACAAATGCATACTTCTCAACTAACAAGACACTATTCACATGGATGTGAAGTATGTGTACGTAAATGTTTATTTGTGTGTGTTTATTACTTAGAAAACGTCGGTAAGTTTTAGAGGTTGATCAATAAATTCATTTATGTATTTTGACTTTAGTACACAATTTTGAAGCACACTCTTACCAATAGAATAATCGATTTCGAGCAGCTGACTGACTAACAACTGTTTATTTTATCTATTCTATGAACATTTCTATGGAGTAATTAGTTGTAAATTTTAAAATGTTTAATTCTGATGTAAAATCAAATAATTATGTGTAGAATGTTCTGATTTTTAATGGATTTTCTTAAAATTTAGCCTTCCCTATGGTTCACTAAAGATGATAAGTTATACTTTTCAGGAACCAAAATGTCTATTAAACAAGATAGGAAAATACTGATTATTAGAAAGGGTACAAATATTACAGATGTTAGATTCATGATAACTCATATATCCATAAAAATCAACAATTTCCAAAGGTATTTTAGAGAGTTGTTTGTATGATAACTCATGTATATAAATCTATTAATGATTGATTATTGATCTGCTTAATGATTTCAAGATCTAGAAGCAAAGTATTAATAAGTGCATACAAACAAATACTTTAAAGCTATATATATATATATATATATATATACGTATAGAAATGATTTCATTTATCAATTAAGTGAATTCTTACAAATAAAGACATTCAAAAATTACTAGTTACACATAGCATGTATGTATGATGATATATTATTGGTCAATTTACGTCAATTTTAAAAATAAGACTCACGGTAGCGATAATAACAGCACTAAAAAATATAGTAGAGAGTTTACCATTTATACCAGTAAAGTTCAAACAAACCACTCATATGCCAGTAGGATTTTTAAAGTACTAATGAGAATTTACATTAACTCAGAGAGCTTTACAAAAATAACCAACTTCATTTGTTAATGTTCTTTATTATGTTTGGAAAATCAGAAAAATCACATGATGCGCCACTTTTCCAGGTGTCACCTATATCCTCTCAATCATTGTCTTCACCTTTGTCATCGAAGAAATCCAATCAAACAATAGTGAGTTCGAAAAAATTACATAATCCATTGGATAATGAAATCTTTCTAATACAACCACCGAACACTACTGTTTGTATTGGTGACAATAATCATAATAAAAATGAGGATTTTCAACACACTGTATGTCAAACAGTAAACAAGAAAAATGATAAGAGAAGCACTAAAGAGAAAGATAATGGTCGAAAATCGTCCTTATGTAGTCGACTTTTTCCTTGTTGCGTTAGTAGACAGTCTAAACCAGCAAAAAATTCTTCTTTTTTTACTAGACCAAATGATAACGACGATGGTTATGACAATAATGATAATCATAAAGATACTGGGAATAAACAAAAACTAATCACTGAGTCACCGGCTACAGAAGTTGATTATTTAGATAATTCAGATGAAGCTACTTTAAGATTAAAGGTAAGCATTGTATTTTCCGAAAACATTTTTAATGATCTGAGGTATGATTTCATTATATTTAAAGAAAACGAGCAGATTCGACCTCTTTGTAGACACAAACTATGTGACATATGGGTGTGAAAGAGTAAAATCTAATATGGAATTGACCAGGTAATAAAATATATCATTCTAATGAAATAGAAACGTTAATAATCTTCCACCATTATAACAGCGATTAAAAGGTATACAGACATCGATATCACTAAGCACTACCATATATGTAGGTAGTTTTACTGCCAGTTTCCGACGAATGGAATCCACATGAGGTATTACACTAACATCGTTTTTAAACTTCTTGAAACATAGCTAATAGGAACTGAATTCGAAATTTTTTATGTTTCTACGATATTTGGCAAGACTAAAAACCACAAATTTCGACCAATATTCAATCTCCGATTTTATTCAAAATTAATTACAATTGTTTCTTGAAAACAGATAAAATGTAATACTGAGCGAACTTGAAATTCTAGAGACTTTCACTATTTAATCAATTATGAAATCCTTAACCAGCTAAAAGAAACAGTTCTAAACTTCGAGGAAACTGCATTATCATCTGTTCCAAATCTGATGCTATAATTATTCATGACAGTGATACTGTACGTTGAGATTTGTTTTAAGAATAACAATAAATGGTAAAAACATTCTAATTTTCTGTGGGAAAATCAAAGGAAAGTATCTAAACCTGACTGACCAATAGCTTGTGGCTAACAGATTCATTTTTAATGCTACCATAAATCTAGGTAGGTTTCCATGAACACGTATGTGTTTGAATGCCTATTATTTATATTTGCTACTAACCTTTCTAGGGTAAAATTTATAATATGACTTGTGTTCTTTTTTTAAATTCTGACGTTCACAAACGGTTTTCATTGACCAGTTTTTTGATGTCATTTTGAGACACTAAGTAGACTGGTACAGTGTCACATCTACTGAATGTCACGAATGTAAAAGTATTTGGTGCATTAAGCGACCAGTATAATCACATTTAGAAGAGTCATATGACCTAGCACATATTTTTCTATCATATTTCCCACGTGTTGTCTGACCTTAATAATTATGAATCATCCAGAATAAATATTTGTTTATTAGCGCATAGAATAATCAATATTATCACTTAGCTTTCTTGAATTAGTAGTAAACTGTACTATAATAAACAATTTTGCAAAGAATAATTAGTATGTTTTATTCAAAGGTTGTCCATACTTGGAAAAGTGAATCCGATACAGTGTTCACTTATCGTATCTTTAGTATGTAATAAGTTCGCAGTATAAGAATTCAAATGCAATTTGTAGTCGAGAGACATTTTAAATTTATGGAAATAAATGTTTTTATGGGGTTGTCAGTGACTTGTTCTATTCCCTGTATACTTTATTATAAACCTGGAATAATTTTGTGTAACCGCTTTTTCTCGTTCTTGAAATTTTATGATTACCTTTACATAGTTTCTAGTAACAGGAATTAAAACATAGATGCACATCGCAACTGCCTAAAATATGATGGATTCAGTCTTTTAAAAGTCGTTTATTTATGATTTGTACAATCACAAAACTTTTCCTAAAATATTGGTCATTAAAAACCATGAGCAATAAATAATTTGATGAGCCAACAAAAGCGATCATCCTTCAACTAAGTAACAGTATTACAAAAACGGGATTTTAATGTTCTCATATGTTTGAGTCCTTAAAAAAACTACATTGATATTTAACCTGTTTTCCTTCACGAAAATAAAATTATGGATTATATCCGCTATTTAGATTAACCGGAAAGTTTCAACTCTATCCATCTTTACTTTAATGATATTATGACTTTTAGTCTTATACTGGTAGTAATTGCCTAGAATGTGTACTGACTCGTGTCATTTGTTTGATGCCCCTTTGTGGTAATAATAAGCATTTACATTATGGTGGAATGATAAACAAATTTACAAATCAGATATGCAGTCTTTATACCACAAGTATAAAATCGATTTTCATACAAACTGAAAGGCTATGAAATCAGTAACTTTTGTTATAAGGCACTAATCGAAGATTACGTAATGACCATTTTTATATTGTGTGATTAATAATAAATGAGTTGGTACCAATTCTCTAGAACAGAAAAAGTATAGGGATTGATTCCTCTCAAAAAAGCATTCACAATCAAATTCAAAAATAAGCATTTTTGAGCCCGATATTTGACTATTGTAGTAATCTAGATTGATTACATTTTAAAAATATTATGTGTTTAATCAGTTAGATATATTCTGAAAGAACTACTGAATTAATTTATGACACAACATTAAAACACACTAAACAAAACCTCATTTTGATTTTTCTATGATAACATCAGGAACAATTAAAATCTATATTTTACTAACGCGTTTTCATCATCAACAACCATGTGGTACCTTATTCCAGTATGGCTGTAACTTGTATAACGTCACATCGCTTGTGCTTAGAATGGATTTATTTAGATATTAGCTCTCTTCCTCTATAACAAGTTGACTTTTTATATTTTTTGTCAGTTTTTGTTACAACACCTAAAATTAAAATCAATGTGTTGGTTTGAAAGTGAACTTCGAAACGGTGTTTGCTGTTCAATGAAACAGGCTGACGAATTAATAAGAATAAAACACTAATTGTTTCACTCTGTTTTTGTGTTGTAATATTTTTCTTTCCTATAATCTCAAGCAAATTATTTGAGGTAGTAACTTGTTTTCAAATGCAAGTGATGTTATTACAAACATACGTCTACCGTAAACTGATTAAAATTAAGGATCGATTTGTACTATTCCATACTAGATGACAATGAGTTTTTACAAGATATATTAACTAATATGTATTTGATTTATTTATGAAAATTAATGTAATTGACGAAGGTTGAATATAATTGAATAAGTTTGATGCACTTTTCAGTCGCAGTATTTTCAGTATATCATAAGTTGTAACTATGACAACAAACTGCCTTGAATCAAACTGAGATGATTAAGCAATTTAAGTTCATTGTTCAATTTTAACTGGATTATAATATTCATCATTATTCTTCTGACTGATATACATGAACATTTCTAAAAGTTAAAGCAAAATCATGAAGATAAACTGTCCGGCTGAACAGTTCTGGTGGTTAATAATTTTATGGATTAGATACTCCAATATAAAGATAGTGAGACATTTAGAACGATAAAAGGCGTTATAAAAAACCTTTTAATAGAAACGATCTTCACAAACTTTTTAACTGGATAATTTAATCGCAAAATCATCTGTTAAGTTGGTCACTCAGTATAGACTTGTGAGTTCTTACCATTATTGAATAGAAGACAGGGTCTAAAATAATAGGTCCAGTTTTTATCGATAATCCTGGACATTCTGCATTTAGAAAGCATGCAATTATTATTATAGGTTGTCAATATATCGTTTGTACACACCGTGTTAACGGTATTTTTAAAAATAAACTTGAAAGTATCCATCTGTAAAATTGATCTTATAACACAAATAAATTCATTATTAGAGGAAACGTTAGATAACCCTGTACTGCAATATATTTCTGGGTCACAAATCCTCTCAATGTGTTGTTATGCAGACTGAGTAATTTAATGAATGATTAACATCTAACATGTGAAAATAGCCACGATCTGCTTAAAATGTAAACAATCAATTATGAAACTATTCATTTCGTATCAGAACTAAGCCTTTCATTAAGATAAACAAATACCCAAGTATGAGATTTCGGAAACATTTTTAGTCAAAAACCATATTCTATAGTACTCAAAATAACATTGAATTCAAGTGAATTTTCTCTCGACATATTCAAAGTAAATGTTTGTACATTTAAGACCTATTGAGTTTTTGCATTCTGCTTCTGTAGATTAATTTATCATGATCCCATCAATATTAATCATGACAAATGCGCCCTTTGCATAACAAATTTTAACAGTTACTTTTAACTCTTCAGTAATCATACAAATTCAGCTGGTGTACAAACATCATAACTTTGCATATGTTTGTTTTTAAAATTTTATCTTATTTTATCAGTTGATTCTTAAAGACGGTCAATTGATTTATTATAACATCCAGAAGTTAATTTAAAATTCATGTGTGAATAATACGTAGATGCCTTAATTTTATTATTTTTAGGATTCTTTTAAGACATATGAAGAACGTCAGAAATATAAATCTATCATCCAGGATGCTCCATTGTATCAAATATATACAGAGAAGGCTTCAATAAGTGAATCAAGACGTGATGCACGAAGACTATTAGGTTAGTTAACTTCAAGTATAATTCTTATTTTCACTTTTTGTTTTACATATTTTTCAGATGAATAAAGTTGTACTTTTATATCAGTAACTTAATTTATATCTTGAATAATACCGTTAGCTGATCTAGTTTATTAGGTTCAAAATACCCAGTATCTAATCTATTAAAAGGTAGTGTCAAACTGTGAATCACATTGGATTAAACTTTGAATTAAAATAAAGGAAGTATTTCACTGATTTTTTCCATAATACCCATAGTGGATATTAAATATATTTCAATTATATTATTATTGAAAACAATAGTAATTTTTAATAACTCTAGCTAACCATACTGCATATTACATCCCAGTTATGCACATTCTTATTTCAAATGTCATCGAAACATAAAATCAAACTAAACTAATTAGTCGTATATTGACGATTATTTCAGAAAAACATTATGCGATAAACTGAAGGAAGTTAATTTTTTACATATTATATCAATTTTCAAGAAAATAATATAACAGTATGGTAGTTTAGGTAAGAAAATTATTACATACCAACAATTGTAAACAATTAAATTACTTGGAGAACAGTTCAATAGATCGTACGCTTTTCGTCAGCTTCTATAACCAACAAATTTCTTCAAAGATTATACTTAGTTTTAATTTATGTATTCACTGGAGAATAAATTCATGTGATGAGTTGAACTAATTTATTATAGATTCAAGGAAATTTCATGGTGTTTCAAATTACTTTAGAAAGTGCTAATATACTAGTACAAATATTAAAATGAACCAGTGATATTACTACTATATGTTCTATTGACTTTAAAACGAAAAGCTTAAGTGAGTTTGTATATAAAAATTGATATTTTGTAAAGCTTTTGCTGCTTAGATAGTTTTTACCTATCCAGGCTTATTGGTCAATTAAAATAATCTTATATATTGTTTTCCGTATTTTTTTCTTATAAAGTTTAGATCGGTGTTTGATAAATAATGACTTTATGGACCATTAGTTTGAAAAATGATAGTAACTTTTAATATAATTTGTTCATATATATTACTGTTTAGTGCAGAAAGTGATATCTGTTAGTTAGTTAAATAGTTAATACCGTCTTCTTATGCCCAATATCATCAAACATAACACAATGAATTTTAGCAAGAACTCAATATATTAGCTGTTTATATGAAGAAACTAACATCCCTGTAACAAGTTCCGAATATAAAGTTATAAACAAAGTGTATATTTTGAGTAAATGCGTTCTTAATATGCAAAACTAATTTATTTCCGCCATTGTACTAATAAAATCTGCTGCTCTTGATTTTTTGTAAGTTTCTTAACTAATATAGAACTATTTTTCGCTCTTTAGATTAAAAAATATCACTGACAATCGTTTATTTCCCTTATTAGAATAAATTAAAATAACCTCATGACTTATACAGTCTTACCAAACACTTATTTCACTGCGTTGCTAAAAGAAAAACAAAACTGTAGAGAACTAAGGAAATATTGTTATGTTTGCTACCTATATTGACAGATATAAGTAGTGTGTAGCACCAATCGGAAGTGGAATGCATCCCAGTAGGAGATTGAGAAGTTTCAATTGAAGAGAAAAGAAAGGGGAACGAAAAGTAATTAAAATAACAACATAATTGAAAAAATCATGAAGCATGTAAAGAACAACTGATAGGCGATGTATTTGATGTATAGTTTCCACATTATACGAAATCACTCTGTAATTTGGCATTAAACAATAAATTGGTTATCCCCTCTAAATCTGCGTTCACTTCAATATATGAACGCTTATATTTATACAATAAGTTTAATTATCACAATCTAATGTATAATTCATTGATTTCTTTGTCTAAATTATTTGAAATATTTTTACTTATATTTCAAAACTTATAATAATGTAAGTTTAAGTACAGAAATTTACAAAAATGATTTATATTATTTTGATCAATTAACAAAATACATTTACCGATATATATATATATATATATATATATATATATATATATATATTTGTAGTCCTGGTTTTTAGTGGTTTATATATATACATTTTTCGTCAAATCAAGTTGCTTGAATAACACATTACTATTATTATCATTGTTATCATTATTACTTGTGACATTCACTCTATTTATCAAGAGATAAGGGGATTGCGGCATACGCTCCTTCACGAGGAGTAAGTAATGAGTATTTGAACAACTATGTATTCTCTGTTGTAAACAATTCACCACACTGTTGTTATTAACAAATTAAACAAATGACTATTAAGAAATTAATAATAAAAATAATTTAATGTTTCAGCAAAAAAATCATCCATCAAAGCAACTTAAATTTTTTTTATTGATAATGAATTATCATCTTCATTTTAACAACGTTTTTAAGCCTTAATGATGGTCTGACAAGCAAGATATAAACGGACCAATTCATTTATAAATGACCTGTTATATGCTATTATAACTTTATATCCATCCGTATCATTTATAATTAGATGATTAATAGTTTTTCAATTGGAATTAATTATCATCTATTTAACACTATATGAAAACTATTTATTCTATTATATATTTTTTCCACTCATGTCACTGATTCCTAATGATTTTCTTAATTTTGTAGACATAAAGTCACATGTTTAATTATGAATAATCGAATCATACAATTAGATTCTTTTATTTTTGTCAATGAACATTCATTCAAATTACATGCATATACAGATATATTAGGAAGATGTTTATGCGACTTGTAAAAATATACTGATAATGTACATTACAATTTGAATCCTGTCTCAGTATATATACACTTGAGCATACTAAATTATACCAGATATATAAGGAACCTTAGTTAAATTAAAAATTCTTTCTAAGACTAGAAAATGTGAAACTCAATTGATGAATGTATCGATGCTTTGTGCTTAATAAATTTTCCGATTAATTTAAATTTTTATCCATTTAGAAAAATAAATTACTTGTTTGTTTAAAACTCTTATTTAACTGTCATTAAATTATTTAGCTCTTGTTCAACCTGGCTCTTTGGATAATCCATCAAATAATTTAAAATTTGATGATGAATTATTTACTGCAATAGATGGTGATGAATCCGATCCAAATAATCAGTATTCCCAAAAAGTACCTGGTAATTTGATAGATAGTCAGCAATCATCAGTTCGTATGAAAAATTCTGAGCGAAGAGATTTCCCATTTCATCCACAGAATAGCGGCTCTTCCTCATTCAGATCAAGGAATGGTGACTCACTGAAAACCTCTTCAGTTAAGCGGACTTATTCAAATTCTAATGCTAGTGAAAGAAGTGGAAATCAAAATTCTATTTCTAAGCCGCGAAGACAGACTCAAGAAGTCCAGAATTTCGTGAATGAAGTTGCTGGAACTGGACCGAATCGTGTACAGTGGTCTGAAATGCCTCAAGTAATCAGTGCACGTTTGGCTAGGGACCTACCTGATTATCAAAAAAAGTTGCAAGAGGTTTGTTTTGATTATTTTATCATTTACTTTGATCACTATATTCGTGTAATTCCGTATCTGATTCTGATACTGATATACAAGTTTCCTGTGCGCGAGCCCAAAACAAAATATTTGAATGAGAATGATGCTTTGTTAGATAGCTGAATCGATATAAATATATACGTAATCCTTTAGAAAGTTAAGCCATATATTCGACGAATAAAGAGTATTTCGTTCCTTAACAAAGAAAGTTAACTCCTGGCCAATAGCGTGAGATTATCATTTGCTCGTTTTCTATTTTACACTCTGCATCAATTGGCAACAATAATAACACTCTAAATTAATAATTGCCAGAAATATTACGTCCAACTTTTTCAAACGACCAAATATTGTGTTGAATATCTAGCGACAAACTAGCTCCGCTTTCTTATTATTTGAACCATACATTCCACAACCTTTTAAATACAACATAAGTTCGCGACGATAAATAGCCGCTAGGAACCTCTCAGTTGGTCTTAAGTATATCCCAATGGAATAAATGTATAAATAAAATTAATATGACCTTATTAAAATAGGCTAACCAACACTCATTTCTCTGATGTACACAGTCAATGATAGAAATCAAAATTGTCATGCTTCTGCTAGTATACTTAAAACTTCTGGTCACGAGGATAAATCAATTGTAAAAAACAACGATAAAATCACGATTATCTGATGCTGATAAACCGTGAATGCATACTGAATTGAGAACCGTTAAAAATCTGAATTTTCTTATTTGTTATATTGCATGGTGATTTCCATCCTAAATGACAGTCAAAAGACTGGAATGGTTTTCATATACGATCGAATTATGTTGCTTGACATTTCGAAACGAAACATGAACACATGCAAGATCATAAATTAGAAGGACATAACGAAAAATTACATATATAACCATTTGATATGAAGTGAAATTTTTAAGTTACTAAAAATCAAAGATTACTGACTATTAATATCTATAAAGCTAGCTACTTATCATAATATAGTCTGCATCAATTCATTCAAACAGTGACCTAACAATATTAATTATATATAATATTCTGGTTTTGGTTGAATATTGCATAGCTTATTATTGCAACTTTGGGAAAACAGAACACAATAGGGAATAAAAATGTTAACATAAACATAGATTACCGAGTGGGAGTTTTTCTTCAACCTGCAATCCTTTTTTGAAACCATGAGCGTCAATACACGTTACTCTTAAACAATCGTCTAAACATTATACAAGTACTAGTTTATCATCTCATTTCATACAATCACTAAACAAAATCGGTTAGATAAATATTAATTCTTGGTGTTACTACATTAAATAACCCAGATGACTTATTTGTTTGACTTCAGTAACAGATCGATGTAAAAAAGTGACCATGAGTGTTGTTTGTTTCTGTAAAGTCGAAATCAGACAATAAACGTTTTAAAAAAAGCTGGAATTTGAGATTCTCTTTTGATGTTTGAAATTAATATAATGATAGGTAGTACTTGACTCATGTAAAGCAAATAATCAGGTTTAGCGTTTCTATTTTTTAAAAGTTACGTGACTTTCTTGTATAAAAAAATTAGTGGTATTCTTGTCACCGTTGAGTGAAGGAAGAATTGGACCCTGTTATCTTACTAATTCGTAATACCAAAATGATTATCTCCCATTTCCAGGCACTGTTTGAAGTTATAACGTCAGAAGCGTCTTACTATCGAACCCTGCATATTTTAATAGAAAAGTTTTATAAAGCTCAGTGTATGCAGCCAGATTCTAAAACATCTGTTATAACAGCTATTGAGAAACGACACTTATTTTCAAATATATCGGAAATATTTTTCACTAGTGAAACGTAAGTTCAAATATGTTTCTATTTTACCATTTTGATTTTTATTCTTGTATATTTAGGCATTATATCCAAACTTTTGCTTGAAAAACTATATATAAAACTTGATCATTTATTCAGTTTGATCTTAGAAATTAATTTTCATACTACTTTTATGAAAAACGAACTAAATAGTACATATCTCTGTCATTCTATATCATCACTTCACAGATCTTTTCAATTAATAGGACCTGACTGTTGTCATCCGTTCTCAAAGTCAATGACATTATCTATCATATAGTTCGTTGACCTTCAGTTTCATTTACCTTGAATGCTGGGTTGAAACCAATGTATGGAACGTCAATTCGAGTTCTGAAGTCTATTTACGAATCTTATAAAAATCTTAGGATCATGCTTTGTTGAGAAATAACTGTTGATGAGTATTTAAAGTTTCGTGGTAACTTTTAGATTCCCAGGAATATATAACACTGAATAAAATAATAATCAATAAGTTTTTTAGTTCTTTCAGAAATTCATGTAATTGAATCCTTTATCCCTTGTCTAATACCTATTATTGGAGAAACCATTCGAAATAATTTAATTAACGTTAGATTTTGTATTTTGTTACCCAACGTAAACGATTGAAACAGTCTGCTTACAAGCAAACTCACGAGCAAGAAGGAATGAGTTGAAAGGATTTCACTAACGTCTTCCTACTAGTTACAAAATTTCCGGCTAATTTTAAACTCATACATGTGAATGGTTTATAAAGGCATACAGGGATTAGGATAAATTTAAGTTGATCTACATCTTTCGTTTTGAGTTTGTTTTCGAGTTATCAATTTAAGTAGTGAATGAAATTCAACCTTTTTACAACCCTTGACCTTGTGGTTATAAAATCATTAGACAGCTTAATTAAGTTCTCATTGTAAGTTGTCCAACAACGTCAGGCATTCATAAGCATCAAAAGAATAACTTCATCCTCCTCAGCATTAATAGTCATAAGTGATAATTTCTCCATTAAAAATTATGGTAGTTCCTCAGTTCTATTTTGGCTTACCGAATAGAAAGATAGACTAATAATAGCAATCTCCACAAATCAATAAACTGACAATAATAAACAATATTTTTACTTAGATCAGTAAATTCCTTTCATAATTATGATATTCAGCCTAATCATTGATTGCTGTAAAACGTAGTTTTGTGGACCATTACATGAATTAAAGGCAAGGTATCAAGCAAACTCGACAAGCTTATTTACCTTAATCAATAACCTTGTGGTGAAATGTTTCGATCGATTCTAAACGATATTATGAATGCATAACAGAAAATTTATTTTTCCATTACACATGAAACTACTAATGAGTAGTACGTATTAATAAGTAAAGTGTTAAATTCTGTAACAAATTAGTGATTGTTTTAACTTTTGTATATTCTTTTTATTATTCCAATAAATGATCGAAATGACTACATTATTATAGTAAATAAGAACTGATATATTCCATCTTTATGTTTTCATTTAGTTTTGTTAGTTTTTTTTTTTAAAATCCGCTTTTATCATTCTAGTTATTTATCGTCAAAGTTTCGTTTATCTCAATTATTTAGATTTCTTCGAGATATGGAATTATATTTTATTCAAAATCCACTAATACCTCAATTATGTGAAATTATTTATGAACATACTGAGAATCATTTTGAAAATTATGTAAAATATGTACAAAATCAAATGTACCAATTAAGAACACTAACGAAATTATTGTAAGTCATCATTAATATAAATTGTATCATTTTAGATAAATGCAAAAAAAGTATTAAATTGAAAGTATTTTCACTTTTTTTAACAAAATATTCCCTATACATATTGTCTACCACTTATTTAAAACAACACATTATCTTTAGAAAGTGAAATTGAAATATGTGTTGATACAAAGTTAATATTAGTATTTCTTAATACGATACCATCATTCTAGAAACAAAATAGAAAATTTCAAGTATAGTTCAAAGAATCATGGTTTTCAAATGTTCTATTTATTAAACAACAAATTATCTAATTACTTGTGTGCAAATGAACAATCATTATCTTAGAAAATTAAAAACTCATATCAATTTTCATCAAATAAAAATTCATTTTATTTCAAATCTTTCCATTCGTTGAAAATAATCTACAACTAGAGCAAAAGATCAAATTAAAAAAATAAAACATGTAAATTGTTCAAGTTTATTTCGAAAAACAGAAATAGATAGTGACAAAAACACAAATCTAAATAGTGAAACTTAGCAAATGTAGTTGTAAATTATCATTAACACAAATTTAAATTCGTATTAAGTGTTTTAGGATTACTAAAAATAAAAAGTGACCGTTACTGATAATCATGTAATATCTAAATAGTGAATAGAATCATTTATTATATTCACATTATATTATCATTGTAATAATTAGAATTTCCCTCTTTAAATTGTTAAATAAAATTTTTCACTTCATTTTTATTATTCCTTATTTCAAATGTAATAGTTTTCTATAGACTTGAATAAAGGTAGTATGGAAAAATATATCAGAAATAATATGCCTTTTTGGAATGTGTTAAAATATTTTGAGTATTATTTTTACATTTATATTAATATGGAATAAAATCTAATGAAATTGATCTATGTCACAAAATCTTATTTACTTAATTACTTACGCCTGTTACTCCCAATGGAACATAGTTCACCCACCAGCATTTCCCAACCCACTCTGTCCTGGGCCTATCTTTCTAGTTCTATCTGATTGTTGCACATTCTTCTCATGTCTGTCTCTATTTCTCAACATAATGTGTTCTTTAGTCTTCCTCTCCACCGTTGGTTTTGAGGATTCCAAGTGGGGGCTTGTCTTGTGACGCAGTTGGGTGCTCTCCTCAATGTGTGTCCTATCCACTTTCAGCGCTTCTTCCTGATTTCTTCCTCCGCTAGGATCTAGTTTGTTCTCTCCCACAGTAGGTTGTTGCTGATAGTGTCTGACCAACGGATCCAAAGTATTTTGCGTAAGCAACTATTAATAAGCATTTATATCTTTTGGATGATGGCTTTCATAGTTCTCCAAGTTTCCGCACCATACAGTAAAACTGTCTTGACATTTGTATTGAAAATTCTGACCTTGGTGTTGGTTGACAATTGTTTTGAGTTCCAGATGTTCTTCGGTTGTAAATATGCTGATCTTGCTTTGCCGGTCCGCGCCTTCACATCTACATCAGATCCACCGTATTCATCAATGATGGTGCCCAAATATGTAGAGGTTTTTATATCTTCCAAATCTTCTCCGTCACTTGTGATTCGATTGGTGCATGTTGTGTTATATGCCACAAAATCTACATTTTGGTAATTTCTTAAGTATTACTAATAGCATAATTAAAATACCAACAAATAAATTTTAATTTTTTCATGCGAAAATCAAATTTCATCTGGAAATTTCTATATGACACCTGAAATCTCTTTGTAAAGTTAACTTATATAATTTTGTTTCAGATCCTCTCCTGCTTTTGTAGAAGCTGTTCGTTCAATACAGCAACAACCAAGCTGTGGATTCCTAGATCTTAATTCCTTCCTATTACTTCCAATGCAACGTGTTACACGTTTACGTCTTTTATTGACTGCTATCTTACATTATGCTCCTAAAAACGGTGTTACATATCAAAGTGGTTTGGTAGCCCTTGCATCTATAGAAAAAGTAAGTTTAAGAATAAATACTTTACTTTTGAAAATGATGTCAGGGTTAAATTTAAGTTAGAAACTATGAAATATCATAAAACTTTTAGGCCAATTAGTTTATTCATTTCAGTGTCCGTAAATATTTATAACTTCCAATTTAAAATATTTCAAGTTTTATTAAATCTTATAAATACTACGTGATATCTTGCAAAATGATAGAATATCAAACACTAATCAAATGGTGCATCCAGATCCTCCAACCTTTTTACGGTCTATCACCTCTCAACAAAACATATTATACAGGATTATTTGATGATAAAACTAGAGAACATAACTATGTTCTTGAACAAAACAGTTTATATTGCTAGTTTTGCATTCCCTAAACTTTCTTGTAATCAATGAATTTAATTACTGTTGCTCTAATTAAGGTTAAAGGTTCTAACAAATCGGTATGTCTATAAATTGACAGAAAAGTCTCATTGAACTCGTGCATTGACAAACAAAAACACTAAATAATTTTCTAGGAAAACTGGTAAGATAAACAGTGTCAGTCTAGCTATTTGTTGATCTTTTGTAACTGTCCGACTCTAAATAACCACCTAAATGTAGGGTTACTTTATAAAATGAGCAGGCTTGCTTGAATTTCTGGTCTACCTGTTCCTCTCATCTAAATATTTACAGTTATTTTTTATTTTGGTTTAACACATTATACCTACTAATCGCATAACCTATTCAAGCGCATTTATGAACATTTTACGACCTATCACTTTACAAGTTACAAAAAAGTACAATCAGAGACACCATGGTGACTGGTAATGTATATTAAAATGAATGAACATTAATCAGATATTGATTCCTGAAGTGCTAAATTCTAACTGCCAATCACTAATTAACGTAGTGGACTATCTTCATTTCTTACCAAATCAACAAATGTATCATAATTATGGTGTCATCACAATTCAAGAGTCTTGGTTAACTGATCTCAACATCTATCGTCAGGATCAATCAAGCAATAAAAAGAGGAGTGGTGGCGGTGTAGCTACGTTTCTAAGCATGAACTGGCGTCGATCTACTTTTGAATGTTTCAAGTTTTTGAATTACTGTATCGATTCTCTAACTTTAAGATGCCGTCCAAAATACTTGAATAAATACAATCATGTTTATGTTACCAACATCTACGTGCTCCATCGTCTAGTTTTGATCGTCGTATAATTTGTGTTCTACCTAAGGTACATGGCAAGCTTGGAAAGGTTACACTCTTACATCAGACGAAGAAAGTTAAATACAGGAATTACTCAGAAGAAAATATCTAAAATCTGAAAAACATGTTTGGTTCTACTAACTGCAGATTATATACAGATGACTCATTGGGAAACATTGATGTTATCACTTGTTATCCTAAATTCTGTTTTGATATTTCTTGTTTCACTGAAACCATTTTTGCAAGTTCAGATCGACGTACATCTCCACAACTAAAACGATTATGGAGGGTAAAAGAAAGTATGTACAAGGAGAAAAACTCAATTGAAGTTCCGAAACTAAATGGTTTAATAAACTTGGAGATCGGACGTGTGAACTCAGTGTTTACTCAGAAACTTCTATTTTCTAAAAGCTATTCAAGTATGTGGAAACTATTTAAAGAGCTTACAGATGAGAGACACATTAGATGCGATAAGCAGCTAAATGTTTGTGACTTAAGTCTGTTTTACGTCAATCAGCTTATATCATGCTTCCTATATCTACAGGATTGAATAATAATTGCTACTCTCACTTCGACCTGCACTGGAAGAGCTCATTGAACAGTATCAGTTTTCTTACAAATGCAAAAGAGGCATCTTAGATACTGCTGTTGTTCTGCATCATAATACAGTGTTCAGCTTGGAAAAAGATAAAAGGTTTGTTCGATGCGCTTTTCTGGACTAATTTCTGCCTTTGACTATTCTAAAACAACTCCTACTTAACAGGTTAATCAGCGTCAACAATGACAGCTGGATAACCATCTGGCGATGTTTTTACCTCTATGGAAGAGAAAATTACTCTGTGTTTGAAGGAAAGTGTTCAACGTCACTGCTGTTTGATGGAGGTCTGCCACAAGTAGCTGTTCTTTTCTCTATTCTTTTCTCTCTTTTTGCATGATCTTCCATCTTCCACAAAAAACGCTTGTTAAATATGAGGACGATCTCACTAAACGTATGCTGATTTCTACCTTTTTACATCCCTTCGAAATGAATGAGTTGTTGTTTCTTATTGAATGGTGATCTGTTGTTAATAGTATCACACTTAATTCGTTTAAAAGTCAGTCTGTTAACTTCAGCCTGAAACATGAACACCACCCAAACACCTTATTGGAATCCTATAAAGTTTGCATTATCTGAGACTCTTTGATAAACACTGTGTCAAAAGTCATTTATCATGGTGTAAGTTTATATTCTGACCTCTCGTGTTCTCATATTTTGTGATTATCAAAGAAAGTTTTCCTTCTGACATTATTATTAATGGCTTTATTCCATATTATATTTTTGGTACAATGTAAAATTCTCAGCAAAATGTATTTCAACGAGTTTCTTTTACAAAAAAGAAAAAAAATAGAAATCCGATAGCTGCATACATGTATACGTAAATTCAATAAATAAACTACTCGGAATAAAAAGAAATGACTTTATAAAGAAGATTTGAAACTGTACAACTTTTCCAATTAGAAACATGTTTATGAATACAAGCTATTGACTGGGTAAACTCTAACAACCTGTTCATCATATTGTATATTTATTAGATGAGGTATTGTAGAGCTTTTTTATCTTTGCTTGCATGCATGGATTCTAATGTATTGACGCCTCGTCTTACCAGAAGATTTACAAGGAGAAAGATATGAATGAAGTAGATGGTTAGTATTTAATATGATAACACCTGCCTGGAGTTTGCAAAATTTATAATGGCTATCTACAACCATAATAATAATAATAATAATAATAATAATAATAATAATAATAATGACCCAAAAAGATTCACCACACACCCTTCTAACTATCTTCATCACTTTCCTCAATACAGTAAAGTTTTTTCTTAAAGGACCAGGAAAGAATAATGGAGAACAGTAAAGAGTAGTAGGCAATATGCAAAAATCGACAAATCGTGAGAGTAAATGTTGAGTAATCCCAAAAGCATGCGACCTCATTATGAAGTATATATGATCTACAGTACCTCATCTAATAAATATACAATATGATGAACAGGTTGTTAGAGTTTACCCAGTCAATAGCTTGTATTCATAAACATGTTTCTAATTGGAAAAGTTGTACAGTTTCAAATCTTCTTTATAAAGTCATTTCTTTTTATTCCGAGTAGTTTATTTATTGAATTTACGTATACATGTATGCAGCTATCGGATTTCTATTTTTTTTCTTTTTTGTAAAAGAAACTCGTTGAAATACATTTTGCTGAGAATTTTACATTGTACCAAAAATATAATAATGGATAAAACCACCAATAATAACGATAATTTCAAAAGTAAAAATAGCGATTCTTAGGTCTTTAAACATGTGTTCATTTAGGCCATTTATACGATTATTATCATAAATACTCGAGCGTAATTGTCCACCAAATGCAAAAGTACCCGTGGGAAAATTTCCGCTCTGTAAAATAATTGATTAATTTTAATTGAAATCACAAGCCGATCTAAGTTAAACAATTGCTGAAAACCTGAAAGCCCCGAAGACATTGGGAGATAATCAAGTAATGTCGTGGAATGATTGAAGTTGAACAACCATACCAATGGATTCCTACTTAGTAGTCTGGATGTTAGGCGTTTGTGAGCAAAACCGAAGGTACTGGGTCCAATTCTCGATGCTGAGGTAGTAGATGCACATTAGTGAGAAGTCCCGTAGTAGAACAAAATGGTTTTCTAGTACTTCCACAATTTTAATAGTTATCTAACTCAGGTTGATTTGTAATACCACTCAAATCCAACAATGATTGATTATCCACGCTAAATTGGTTGTGTGTAAGTCAACGATCAGTTTCCATATCACTGAGAAGTTTTAAATTATATATGATCAGTATCTAAGATCATAGAATGACAATCATAACAGTTTACTGACAAATACATTATTATTCTTATTTCGAACTCAAAAGTCAGGATTATACTACTCAATATTTTAAGTATATTTGAAAACAGTATTTCATATAGATGATCTGTTAAACAGTTAAAAAAATGAGGTTTCTTTGATCTTCATCTATGATAATGATGCAGGTATCTAAATTGATTATTTCAAAAATAACTTCTAGATTTTTAATTTGTACATGCAATTTTACTGTTTCTAGTTTGATCAATTCGCTAAATTACTTACAAATCAGTATTTTTACATTGTGTTTCGAAAATAACAAGGGTAAATGTATCGTTTAAATTACAGCTTAAACATTTAAACATTGTATTCTACCAAAAATGGCAACAAAGCATATTTTATGTTATCTTTTATGATAATATTAATTCAACTTCAATAAAAAGCTTTGTTAGTATTTTTGTTTCGATAAGTATTGTGATAAATATTTTCTGTTAGAAAAGTTATACGAATATCAAATCGATGACTAAAACACATAGTATATTCTATTTGTCACATTGTTATTGATACAAAATATTTTAGAAAAGAAACGCATTTAATTGTGATAAAATTAAATAATCTTATTATTAGTATCTAACTTTAAAATAGGTACTGTTTATTTTGAACGATCAGCTAACTGAAATAATACAATAGTATATCGTTGAAATTTACTATTCAATGTATGATTGTCATTCAGTTGAAAAAAACTAAGTTAAAATTAGTAACTTACAACAAGTTCCTAATGAATTTACGAAGACGGTTAATGTTGAATTTCGTAACTGATCACCTTATACAGCAAAAATATACAAAATCTTTTGCTAATTATATGTCAACAAATTACACCGCCAAAATTGCGAAAAAGTTTGACTAAATACCAAAACTATTATGTTCGTCATCGATTATTCTGCCTTCAACAAGTTGTGTCACTTGTCACAAATATTTGTCAGTGTGCAAGATGATTAGACACAGTAGAGATTAAAAAATATCTTAAATTGACTGAAATAAAGAAATAATTTCAAACCAACTTGATAGTTGAATGGCGAAATAATCAGTGCTATACATACAACTTTTAACGACGGTCAGTCACGAAATCCTTACAGAACTCTATAGGTTGGCTCATTTTAAAATGTGTTCATGGAAAGTAATTTGTTCTAAACCGTAAATCAAATAACAAAACATACTTTTAAAATATTTTAATTGATTGTTAGATTAATGGAATAATTAGACAGAATAATTTCAACATAAAACATTATTGCTTCAATCTTCTTTTGTTAATTACCTAAGTATTCTGTTGTTTTCTAAGTAGTTTAGTATTTTATTTTATTTTTACTCATAGCTTATAAGTAAATGTGATTCAGAAAAAGCTCGTATGGAACAAAAAGAACGTCTTGTAGAAATTTGTAGAAGATTAGAATACAAATATGATGCAAAGGTAAATTCTATTTATTAATCAAACGAATTACTTGGATTTATTTCTAAAAACATACATCATATCTCTGTCCTAAATAAAAATTATATATTGTGAATCCTTCTTGTTCTCAAAATAAAACAAAATAATAGGAGAATAATTAGAATCCTTAAAAATTAATATCCTAGTCTTAAAGAATAAATTAATCTGAATAAAAAGATTTCTAATAGATTATTAAAAACGTTATGTGAGTTCCTCCTGCCCGTAATATCTTGTATGCATCAGGACGAGATGTGTAAATATTCATGATACAACTATTATTCTATTTTTTATTTATTTCAAGAATATCAATCTTGTTTCTTTTGTCTATTTCTGCTCATTTCTAGCAATATATTTTACTTCTGTAATTGATATGTAGTATATTTGATTAATAACAATCCAATAAAACCGCACATCCACGTCCATACCGTCTTTCTATGTTTGTATATTGAGTTGAATCCATAAAATTTCAACTTAAATATACTTTGGAATTTTTAAGAATCCATATGTTACGTGTAAAAGACACGAGCGAAGAACTCAATCTATGTGATAACGAAAATTCGTTGATACTGTTCACTTGTCATTATGTTTTCTTACCGATTGTACTATAACAGATGAATTTTAAATCTACAATTTCTTCCAAAATTGATAACGGTCTCTTTAAAATTTTATCACATTTTTGTTTAGCAATCATTTCTATGTGTCATATATACCAGATACCCTAAAACCTCAACATTCATTTCTTTGGAACAAAATTCATATTTTATTTGTAATAAACACACGCCGATTTCTTTTCACTACTTGATCATATTTATTGATTTTATCCATCTTTACATCTTCATCTCAATTATTGTAATTTTATTTCAATTTTATGTTTGCTTACTCATAATAAAAGTCTTTGGCTACGGAAAGTCGGACGCTTGTAAAAGAAGGTGATCTACATCTTTTAACAATGACCAATGTACAGGGTAGTGGATTCCACCGTCGTTTCAGCAGTATTCGTAAACCCAAAGCAACAATAGCAACTCTATTTCTATTTAGTGATTACTTACTGATTACCAAAAAGCGAAGGTAATGTGTACTTTTAGATCTCCGTTTTACTTTTGTTTAAACTCTTGTTGTCCTCAACCAATATTCACTACTACTTTATAATTTTGTCAAAAGAATGATAGAACACAGTGATATAAGCCAACAGCTATGTTTAGTAGATCAATAAACTACATGAAACATCCTAACAGGTTATCAGGTGTTAATATTTTATGGTTGCAAATCAACTTGAATTATTGTGTCAGGATGATGTAATCCTGTTTGATGTGGTTTAATTTTTTATATCTTAACCAGTTTCCAATATAAATAGAATGAAGAGATAATCAAGTTTTAACCGAAGTGGCTGGTATCAATAACATCTACCCTGACCCTTTTAAGGGACTGCAATATGTATTCCTAAGAACGACATCAAATTGATTAGAGCTAGGCTTTTTAATTTAAAATCCTTATGGCAATGAATTTCATTCTAATGGGAACCAAAATGTACTCAGAAAACCCTCACCAGTAGTAAACGTTTTATAACTATCTCTGTAAGTATTTGAATGGTGAGCGATTTATTATTTAAACTCATGTAACTCAGATGACATTTTGAGATGGAATCATCAGTGTACACGCTCATATATCACTTATCAAATGAAAATGACTAATTATTTGTTGTAGTCCTCCAATTTGACTTTCTGCTTTTATTGAGTAGTTTCACTTCAAGTACTTGCTATCATCTTTTGATTTTTTATTATAGAATAAATAACATTAGATTCTTTATTAAACATTCACAAAGTTATTGAAATTTAGTGATTCTGAATTTCTATGCTGCATTAAATCAAAATTTCTCCTATGATTAACTTAATGATCCCTATTTTGCCAAGAAACAGATATTTCGCAAAAATACCCATTTATTGAATTCATTTTTAAAATCTGTACAGTTGTATTCACATCAAATAACTGGTGTGATGAACACGTTGTATGTATTGTACATGTGTATAATGTACGAAATTCGTAGAAAGCATTCTTATTAGTAGGTGAATTAGTTTATAAAGAAATCATTAAACGGCCTAGAAATTACAACTTATGTAATAGAGTAAATGTCAAGACACGACTATATGATGCGAGATTATGGTGTAATTATTCAAGTAGATAGGTAAAAATCATTGTAATTAACTGTGGTTAGATAATTCCCCGAATCGAATAAATTAGGTTAAATGAATTCAACTGGGAAATGTCCGCATTTAATAAACTAAGAGGGATGAGATTACATTTGAATTGTAGATAAAAAGAAGGAAAAATAAAAACGAAACTAATCGCATGGAGGAGAAAATGAAGCTCTGTCATTAACAATGCTTCTATAGTTAAATATCTGACTCTAAATTAAGTATTGATATAGTAGTTTTCATGAAAATGAGGTATATGGATACGAGTTCACTAGATTAGGTTTAGTCTTCTACGTAAGACCTAACGAAGAGTTCGCTACTACGCAGTTATTGTCAATTATGTGGTGTAAAATAGATGGTTTAGTTATTTTCATTTATCCTTTAGTGAGTCCTCTGTTATAACGTGTGATCCGCCTATTAGAGAGCAGCCTATTATCGATCGAAACAGTGACGCATAAAACACGAGCGAGCAGCCTAGAGCTCTGATTGTTCCTGCTTCCCTGTCTAGCCCAGCCAATTGAGTCCAGAACACAAGTCTCAGCCTCGGAGATATGAATCGTTATATTTCAAACATACACTGTACATATACCAAACAAACAGACTACATCGTACCATGAATAGAAAGTAACATTTGTACAAGATTTAACCTTCAGGAAATGACACAAACAAATATTGACCAATAAGGAGATGACACGTTGGAAGAATGTTGACCAATGGGGAAATGACACTACTTCTCATTCAGGAATAGCATTAGATAATTTCTGGGGTATTTTCTGAATACCCCAACATCATCATAAGAACTACTCTCAATAAACTTAGTATATCCTTCCATAACGAAAATGTATGGTTAACTAAAAACAATATATATAAATATTGTTCATACAAAAGACAGTTATTTACTCCTTTCACTTCCACTTATCATCAAATATGAAGAAACTAATCTTACATTGACCACTAAGAAATAAACTTACAAACATTCTAGTGTCAGTTCTTCAGTTCTTTGGAAACAAGAATGTGATTTAATTGACTCACGTTTTTGTTATCTTTCATTCTTGATCAAAAATGTTCATAAACATGTTTCTAAAATAACAGTTTCTGATACGTCATTGTTTATTTTAAGCAATGGCGTTGTGATTGACATCCTTATGATATGATATGATAAAGGTCAAAAGAAATTCAGTTGCTTTTGTCATCGTCACGTTTAATTTATTTTAAATCACCAAAACTTTATACGCATTTTTCTGGATTTTAATTTACAAATCTCTTTCATGTAGTTTAGCTACTAAATTCGGATGCTTAACCTTCTGCTAATCTTTTCTTCATTCAAGTAATCAGCATTTGTTGGTTGAAGATAGTTGTTCGTTGAACTATATTCACGTGGAGGCCCAAAATGCCTTACCGAATTGTTTCATACATCATTTCTGCCGATCTGGGGATCCCAAATTAAATGCACAATTAGGACATGTGACTTATGTAAAAACGTTGAGTCTTCCTAAACAAACTGCCATTGAAAAAGTCAACGTAAATAATCAAAAACCACGAAAATTTTCTACAGACACAAATAATGCAGCGGATGTTCGGCTCAATGTATTCTCGTTTCTTTTAATAATAGAAGGCCCCGATCATCCACGTGTTCAGTACGTGTTCCAAGCAGAAACACTGTAAGTATAACCACGTTTAACAGTATTACCGAATTTTATAAAGATTACAAACCTATCTAAACCAAAACCAATGAAAATGTAAGAGTACACGACAGCCGTCTCGTTCAAATATGGGACTCCTCACCAGTGCACATCCACCACCCCACCACCGAAGATGGAACCGAAAACCTCCGTTCTGGCTCACAAACTCTTAAGCTCTAAACCACTTGGCTGAGATTCGATAACTTATGAGAACTAAGGTCTTAGGTTTAACCCTTAGTAGCAGGTTCATAAATGCGCAGTAGTGAGAACACCCATACTAGAAAGAAACAACTGTATAGTTTTTACAGATTTCTGGTGGCTTTAATATGCACTTGTGGTTTATGTTATCAAGCAAATTCGAGTTAAAAACAGTTCAGTAAAGCTAACGACTTCTAGCTTAAACTACTTTATGACTCTAAGTACTTGGTTACAACTGCTTCGACTTGTCGAGCATTTCTATGTAGCTTATACTAACCAACTAATTACAAGTGAACATAATTTTTTTCATATATAATTTGTAGGATTGATTTTATTTATTATTATTACTTAAACCATATAGAGAGACAACTGTTCAACCATAAGTTATTGTTCAAACAATCACAAGATTGATTTTGTGCTTTATCTTTTCCAAAACGTACAAATAATACACTCGACATGATAACTATGTACAAATACTGGCTCAATATAAACAAAAACATACGTTGACCTATATTAGTTTGAGATATATAATAAATCGTATTCATCATAGAAACTGAAAGTTAAATAGTACTCCCTAGTCGATGTTCAACTAATGCAAACAGGTAAATAGCAGTAAATTCCAATGATATTTTCGTTTCTGTGAACTTTACGTTATACTTCAGGAATTCATTGAGTGCCTTCAACGCAATAGGTTGATCACAGGATTTTATTCTCTGAAAACTTCCCATAATTGTGTTTTAATATAATGGGAATTTTTCAGTGATTAAAATAGAAGTAAATAAATTAAGGCAATACCAACATAAACAGATCGGCTTTTAAAGATGGAAAAAATAAAATCATGTTCAAAAATTGACATACAATTTAAAAAGCATTGTAAAGATCGTCTTGCTTACTTTTAGGACACAGGTTTTGTGTGACAAGTGTTTAACAGAAATGACTTTCTCATAAAAAGGCAGAGATGTTTTGGTATATGGACGTATTATTTATGAAGTTTAATATCTCAATCATGTATCCTCTACCTGATATTTACCTTTTAATTATACATGAAAATATTTCCACTCTCATACAGAGCCGTCTTACTGAATTTTTGTGAAATTTGGTAAAAAAAATATTGACTAAGTCTTTTCTAAATGCTAGATCCTCCCAAGTACATGAACTTCTTAAATCCACTTACTTACTTACTTACGCCTGTTACTCCTCATGAAGGAGCATAGGCCGCTCACCAGCATTCTCCATCCAACCCTGTCCTGGGCAATCCTTTCAAGCTCTTTCCAGTTCTTATTCATCCCTTTCATATCCGCTTCTATTTCCCGACGTAATGTGTTCTTTGGCCTTCCACATTTCCGCTTCCCTTCAGGATTCCAAGTTAGCGCTTGTCTCGTAATGCAGTTTGATGATTTCCTCAATGTATGTCCTATCCATTTCAATCGTCTTTTCCTAATTTCCTCTTCAGCTGGAAGCTGGTTGGTTCTCTCCCACAAAAGGCTGTTGCTGATGGTATCCGGCCAATGGATGTTGAGTATCATGCGTAGACAGCTATTAATAAATACCTGTACCTTCTTGATGGTGGTTGTTGTAGTTCTCCAAGTTTCAGCTCCGTACAGTAGAACTGCTTTGACGTTCGTATTGAAGATTCTGACTTTGATATTGGTTGAGAGTTGTTTTGAGTTCCATATGTTCTTCAATTGAAGGAATGCCGCTCTAGCTTTGCCAATCCTTGCCTTGACGTCTGCATCTGAACCTCCTTGTTTATCGACGATGCTTCCCAAGTATGTGAAGGATTCCACGTCTTCCAGAGTTTCTCCATCAAGAGTGATTGGATTGCTGTTCTCCGTGTTGTGTTTGAGGACCTTGGTTTTCCCTTTGTGTATGTTGAGGCCTACTGATGCAGAGACTGCTGCTATGCTGGCTGTCTTTATCTTCATTTGTTCGTGAGTATGCGATAAGAGGGCTAGGTCATCTGAGAAGTCTAAATCGTCTAATTGGTTCTGAGCTGTCCATCGTATGCCGTAGTTTCCCTCAGATGTCGAGGTCTTCATAATCCAGTCGACCACCAGAAGAAACAGGAAGGGAGAGAGTAGACAGCTTTGTCTTACTCCGGTCCTTACTTGGAATGCGTCAGTCAGCTGTCCTCCATGCACTACTTTGCACTGTAGTCCATCGTATGAGTTGCGGATAATGTTGACAATCTTCTCAGGAACTCCGTAGTGTCGAAGAAGTTTCCATAACGTCCTCCTATCTACACTGTCAAATGCCTTCTCATAATCAATGAAGTTGATGTAGAGTGACTAGTTCCACTCAATTGATTGTTCGACGATGATCCGTAGTGTCGCAATCTGGTCTGTGCACGACCGGTCCTTACGGAATCCAGCTTGTTGATCTCGAAGTTGAGCGTCTACTGCGTCTTTCATCCTGTTCAGTAACACTCTGTTGAAGACTTTACCTGGTACTGACAGTAGTGTAATGCCTCTGTAGTTTTCACACTTGCTCAGATCTCCTTTCTTCGGAATCTTGATGAGGTGTCCTTCTTTCCAATCCATCGGCACTTGTTCCTCCTCCCAAATCTTCTTGAATAGAAGATGAAGCATGCTTGTAGTTACTTCGATGTCTGACTTCAACGCTTCAGCTGGTATATTGTCAGGTCCTGCTGCTTTCCCGCTCTTGATTTGTTTGACGGCTATTCTGATTTCTTCGGTCGTTGGTAGATTGACATCTGTGTGTGCTGCTTCGATGTCTGGTGGATTCATTGAAGCCGGCCTGTTCAGGAGTTCCTCGAAGTACTCTGCCCATCTGTTGCGCTGTTGTTGAATCTCAGTGATTGGTCTTCCTTCTTTGTCTTTGACTGGTCTCTCTGGTTTACTGTATTTCCCTGCTAGCTTCGTCGTATCGTAAAGCTTATCAGCTCTAATGCTCTTCTTCACTTTCTTGTTTGCTTCTATGTACTCTGCTTGTGCTTGGACTTTCTCTGCTCTTGTTCGACTGTTGTTAATTGCTGTCTTCTTGTTCTTTCTTTCTTTGATCCTGTCCAGTGTTTCTGTAGAGATCCATTCCTTGTGATGATGCTTCTTGGAGCCCAGAACCTCTTGACACGTTGAAGCTAATGTTTCTTTGATACCTTTCCAGCTATCCTCCATAGTAGCTTCTTCTTCCTTCAGTAGATCCTGTAAGGCTTGGAACCTGTTGTTGAGAGCTACCTTGAATTCATTGAGTTTGTCAGTATCTCGAAGGAAGGCTGTATAGAACCTTTGTGGTGCTGTTTGTCCAGTTGTCCAGTTCTTCTTTAGCTTCAGTTTCAATTTGGCCACAACCAGGTGATGATCTGAAGCTATGTCCGCTCCTCTCCTGGTTTTCACATCTTCCATTGTCCTTCGGAACTTTTTATTGATGCAAATGTGATCTATCTGGTTCTCTGTGGTGTGGTCCGGTGAGATCCACGTAGCTTTGTGTATACGTTTGTGTGGAAATTTTGTACCGCCTATGACCAATTTATTGAATGCACTTAGATTTGCAAATCTTTCCCCGTTTTCGTTTCTCTCTCCCAGTCCATGTAGTCCCATGATGTCTTCATATCCGGTGTTGTCCATTCCGACTTTGGCGTTTAGATCTCCCATCAGAATGGCGAGGTCCTTTCTTGGGCACTTCTCTATGATTGATTGCAGCCTCTCATAGAATTGATCTTTAACGTCGTCGTTGCTATCATTGGTGGGTGCATAACAATGGATAATATTCATTGTGATCCCCTCGTTCTTTGTTTTGAATGATGCTTTGATAATTCTGGATCCGTGAGATTCCCATCCTACAAGTGCATTTCGTGCTACTTTGGATAGCATTAGAGCAACT